TTGACCTTTACAATAGAGGTAGCCAGTGGCTATATCAGTACTCATATCTTAGATGTGATCCTGATACCACCTCATAAATGTGGGTTGACAGTGAGATCTATCTTACTTGGAAACAGAGCAAGGAAACCATGTATGCCCATACTGTGCTTTCTTACAATGATTTGCAGTATTTCCAGTGGTTTTTCAGGTTATAAAGCTTTCGTACTCTCGTGTTATGCACATCTGGCCTCTAGAATGACTCGCAGTGGCTCAGCAATGTCATAAGTCAGTGCTGCTGATCTCCTAGATAAGTCTGGTAGTAACTCAGTGATTACGGAAAATGGAAGGCTTGTTGTGCTATGGGCAAAGGCGAGCCATGGACCACGTGCGCATCGCAGGCACCTCTGACATCTGCGTAACACACGCCATTTTCAACTCATCAGGAACTCAAAATTTGTTACGAACCTCATTCGTGCTCCCTCTTGAGTCTACTACAGATCACTTAGTTTGTTCAAAAGGTAATGTGAAGCCTCCAGTTTTAGGAAACAATATTCGCTGTATTTTATTAAATATTCATCCATCATGGATTCGCTTTCCTTCGATACAATGCTTATCAATGATGAGCCTCGTAAGATGGCATCCAGAGCTCGTGCAGGTACTCGTGGTAGGGGACGTGGTGGGCCTTGTGGACGAGGTTACAAATTCTGATGAGTTTCAGCACAGAATCTGCCTTTTTGATCAACATGTGTTAATGAGCAAATTATCAAAGTCATCTTACTGATAGTGACTGGAGTTGAGATATGTTGTTGAGAAAGTTTATACCTATTGTCTCGGTATTGGGGGAAATACTGGTAGACATTTTGGTAAACAATGGTGTTTTTGAAAATATTGTGTTCTAGCTTAGAGAGCGGTGGCAAAGCAGGTCCCGGTAGTGCAATTGGTTAACCCTTTTGGAACCAGCAGTTGGAATCAAATCGCCGATTTTTTGGTATTTGATTAGAATCTTTTCATTGTTTGGATAAAAGTCTGAGGTTCCTAGGAGATTTCGACAGTTTAAGATTTTTTCTACACGCTCGTAGTCTTTTAGTACAAATATAGCGTTTATGTTTGAGAAGAAAAGCTCTCTTTCACTACAAAATCACAATGATGTTGGCATTAAATCAATCGTAATAAAATGTACAAAGAATACTATGATATAAGTCGATCAGTTTTGATATATTTTATTATGAGCAGCACCTAAGAGTTATAATAGTGACTGGACATTGGAAAACAATGAACAGTATGTCAAAAGAAACTGTTGCACAATCCATACGGTGCCATGCCATGCCATCAATAATCCTCACCACAACCAAGTTTTTATAGCGAGGATTCGTTCATTTCTATTAATTTACATAATAGTGCACAAGAGGAACATGAGAATTTATGGACTGCAGAAGATTTCTGTGCAAGAAGTGTTAATCGTATTCAGGAGAACTAGTGTGTATAGCAGGCTACATTTTATCATTGTTTTAGCAAATCCAAGTTTCATTAAAGTCTGGGCGTAGAGCTCTATTCTTTCCTGACAATCGAAGCCTGATAATTCAACAATGCGTTGGATTGCCTGCTGTATCGCGCTCACAAAAATATGATGATTTCACATTAGCTACAAGCTATACTAGCCATTGCATATTCTGATGTAATTGTACCGCGTATAATTATATGTATTTTCTAGGTTACTGTGAGAAAATGTATGCGTATGTAAGAAGAATTCTGTATAGCTGCTATATGAATACTTTAATAAGGTTGCTAAATGTTTTGAGCTGATAGATCTAATGGTATACAGGCGCCTGTTTAGTCCTGTTGGGACTCATCAGTACCACCCTCCCTCGGTTCCGCCAGAGTCCTGAGGCCAAATAATCCTCTAAAGGAATTAACGCCGAGTAGAAAATTACCCAAAGTTAGGTGATGTACTTACCTGACATTGTGGCGACCGGCAGTCGAGTACGTGGCTGTTATAAAGAAGTACTGTACGATGTACTGTATGTGTTATGCTCTACTGATGAGTCCCAATAGGGCGAAACAGGCGCCTGTATACCACTAGACCTACCAGCTCAAAACATGTGATATCCTTATAAGATAATATCATTTTGAGCGCATCTATAAAAAGCGGTTGATAAAGGAGGTTTGATTCATTATAACAGCTACGTACTCGACTGCCGGTCACCACAATGTCAGCTAAGTACATCACCTGACTTGGGATGATTTTTTACAAGGCGTCAATTCCTTTAGAGAATTCTTGACCTCAGGAGATTGGCTGAACCGAGGTGGTACTGATGAGTGCCAATAGGACGAAACAGGCGCCTTTCGTTTTCTATCACTAAGGGACTGCGGTTTTGAAAAGTAGGGGGCGGCCTAATAGGAAACTTGTTCATAAGACATGAAAGTGTAGTCGATTCGTATCTCTTCTCGAGATTTGACGACTGCCGCACCTTTTTCAGAAATCAGTTCAAAAGAGCCAAATTAGTTCTTGAAATCTATACTTTTCAAGCTATCGAACGATTGGCAAACTCTACTGTAAAGCCAGGCATAAACGATAGCGAAATATGCAAAGCATTCCGGAAGCAAAACCCAGTTTCTGTTCGTCCTTTTTATTGTGCTCAAAAGCCTACATTTGCTATTCAATTGAAAAATTAAGTGTACATTTAGAACCATCATTTCTCAGGCTATCAATGATTACTGAAACATTGGTGAAAAACCTTTGCTCTGTGAAAAGGCCATGTGGACACAAATATAAATCACACTGTACACTGCGAAGAAAAAAATGTAACTTTCATTAGCTATCGAATGGTTATTTATAGTCTAACGAGAAGTCTACAGTTGACGAGAAAATCACGAAAATTCGCACGTATCATGAGTGCTTCACACAGTCCCAAAAGGGTTGAACACGTGCCAGCGGATAGAGTGAAATGCGGGTTCTAGTTTTGCCTGACGCGAAAGTTTTGCACATCACTCCGCATCGATACATATATATATATTATATATATATATATATATATATATATATATATATATATATATATATATATATATATATATAACATCAAACCACCTCTAAAAGCTGTATGAATTAAAGGAATTCTGTTTGATCACAGTAGATTGTTTGTTGTGCTCCATGTAATGAAAATGTATTGCAATTCGACATTTAGGAAGATGATGTGCAAAATTGGTGTTAATAATAAAACGTAATGTGAAAAAGTTCGTCGTTGCACGTTTTTGCAGAATGATCTGTTAAAATCTTGAAGAGCTGTGAAGTCTGATCTTCTGTGTTTTCATTTTCTCTTATTCTCTCTGTCTTTAACATCATTGAGTTCTTACGATGTTTCTGTTTTATGAATTGTTCATTCTTTTACTACCAATAAATTGACATGTCTTGTTCTGATGAGTCTCACCAAATGTTTCGTGTTAAACAACCTTCGTGCTTCGTGGTGCTGTTATAAATGTTCGATGTAATAAAAAGATCGTCAATTTCGATGAGTCAGTATTTGCTTTGAAATTCCGATACACAATCTTAACAACGACATGTTCTCAGGACACCAATGTAGGGATATTTGGCCATGATCTACACTGACAATATGTCCCTATGAAGCGCAGAAGGACTAATATGCTTCTCTTTCCTTTTGTTCGGAAATCCTCAGTTTGTTGTACAAAGCTGCAGGGTGAATGGTGATCATTTGAGATACAATTATGCAATGGAGTCGCATATTCGTCGAGATTGTGAGTGTAAAGCAGGTCGAATATTACAGCTTATCCCTCGAAGCTCCCGAGTTTCTCACCCATCCGTGGTCACGGAATCGGCATTAGACTTATCCAGGAGGATAGAAGCATAGATCTGATTTAGTGGTAGGCCACAACGAGTCACTGTAAAGTCCAGATATGCACTTCGCCTGTTGCGACATATCATCGTTTGCTCATGAAACATCGCAGCAGCCTGCTATTGTTGGACGCAGCAGTTAGCACTGTCAGGCGCAGCATGCTGAGGGTTAGAGAAGCGGGGAGATGGAGCAGACCGTTCAAAGTTGCCAACGAGAGATGCAGAGGCCGTGGAGCGTTGGCCTTAAAAGGGTTAAGAAGTTAACGCACTTCTGAATGCTTTCTAGCCGACTCACTTGAAGGCAAAACTGCTCATGCTCCACCCTAAAGTCTTCGAGGATACTGTGTTTATCTCAATTTTTTCAAGTTGAAGAAGGTTGAATGCAAGTTCTTCGCATGACTTTTTGAAAAAAAGTACGGCAATCGTGAAATGTAGAAAAGAGATTAAAATCGAGTACACTCACAAGTCTTATGGACGAGTTCCTAATAGTTCGCTCCCGTACTTTTCAAAAACGAAATTCTTAGTGTTAGAAAAAAAAAGGTGAAAACAAATCGTGCCATTTGATTAGCAATTTATTGAAAGCGATAATTTTGTGGTTCCGTGAGTTTTGGCGATAGATCAGCAAACACCAAATTAATTAATCAGAAGTAATTAAGACTGTATGATTTTGGTGATGTCCAATTGTGCATTTTCTTGCCAACGTTTTGGTACACAACGCTTATACTTGCTTTGAGAAGGAGTTTTCCTGGGAAAAAATTCCCTTTTACTCTTGCACCAATGGCATGGAGGAAAAAGTGCTAGTAAATCGGCACTCAAGATTATCGGAGCTTGGGGAGATGATACCGTTGCAGAAGGGAAAGCCAGAAAGTGGTTTACAAAGTTCAAAGCTGGCGGAAGCACTCGGGATGATCAGTCACGCTTGGGCGGTCCACGGAAAGCTCCATTCATCTTACGCTCCACTTCGCTAGCATTTTCCCTAGACGCCATCCGTGGCATGAGCAGCAAGCGAATCGTTCTCACGGCATCCCCATCTCGAAGCAAGTATAGGCAAGTTATATATTAAAATGTTAGCAGGAAACAATCAGAATCCATCTTATTTGACCTGGTATTGCGGTGGTATGATGTTACAAAAAAAAAAACCCAATATTGTAGAGTGGTGTGCAAAAACGTTTGCGTCAGCCGGGATTCGAACTCAAATCTCACTCTTTCCGGAAGTGTGTGATGAACCGTTACACCACCGACGCTCATTTTGCGTAAATGGGTTCAATGTCGATAAGTGACTGCCCACGCCAGACCGTGGATGGTTGGCTGTTGGTAGATAGCGCGTTGTAGCGTAGAAAGAGCGGTTACGCAAGACGAGCATAGGTAGTGCAACGGTTTAGCACCCCCTCCCGGAAAGACTAAAATTTGAGTTCGAATCCCGGCTGACGCAAATGTTTTTGCACACCACTTCGCAATATTGGGTTAGCAAGAAAATGTACAGTTGAACGATATCAAAAGTATGCAATTAAAATCACTTCTTCTTGATGATAAATGTGGTGCTTATTGATGTAGTGCCAAAATTTATAGAACGACTTAGCCTCAAAAGACGGCTATAAAATCGAAGAGCGAATTGAGCGATTTTGGGTGTTTCATCAAGGCTTTTTCTCCGTTCTGAAAACTCTCAAATTCTTGTATTACTTCCATAGAGTGAGATGTTCTCTATTCGCTCATATGCTCTAGGTTTAGATAAGTGTCTTTTACAGAGAAAAACGCTGGTTTACTATGCGATCATATTGAACTTGGCAATAAATCAGTTGTATGAAATGTACAAAGACTATCACAATAAAGTTGTTTAGTTTTGACCTTCCATTGTTTCTTACAAGACCCAAAATAATCATTCTGAGCAAAAACTGAAAAGCAATTAGTAATTTGTTAGAATTAGTGATGTATGCTTATTCGATACAAGCTCATCGATAACTCTAATCTTAGCTAAGCTCATATCAGTCATTCGTTTACTTCCAATTATTCAGAAGTGACAGTTGTGAGCAAAAGTCGAGAACTTTTGGATAGTAGAGAAATTCTGAGCGTGGAGGGACATCTGTGCCTAAGTAAAAGGCTTGCAATATTGGCCTTACGCAAACCATTGGTCAAAAATATGTGTTTTCAAAGAAGTATTCGGTACTTTTCCCTTACCCGCACCCATATTCAAGAAAACATATTTTTTGCTCTTTCTAGGCATTTCAGTAGTCATTCGATAGTTCGAATCTCGAGATTTTGAATGGTGTATTCTATTTTTTGATTGGTCCTTATAACAATAACGATTTAATCTGATAAGATTATGACTTGATTTGAGCCGATAGTCTAGTGCTATATATACGCCTATTTCATCCTACTGGGACTTATCGGTAGCATCCACCCTGTAAGCTGTAACGTTGAACTAAAAATTTTATTCCACACTTAAGCATTCTTCGCTGAGCAGAGCTTTTTATTACAAAATTCAGCAAATTTCCGATAGCACGAATTTCGACAATTTTAATAGTGTTTCTGGCTTTCCAAACAAAATTTTGTTGCGGTGCAACACTGAATTTATGATTGCATTTCACGTACGGCACGTATATCTTGCTTCGGTGTGTAGATGAGTTTCGCATCATTGGCACCAAGATATCGTCTTCAATAACTGATCGATAGCATAAATTTCGAGGATTTCAGTATTGAGCATGCTTTTCGAAAGGAAATTTCTAAGCGCTCTGTGGCAGTAAAAATGAACTGTGTTGCACATTTGCTACTTTTCGCTGGACTTAGCTTTTCTCTCGGACTTTCAATGATCATTCGATGCACAAACCTTAGTAATTTCAATGATAAAGTTGGTTCTTAAGAGAAAATTCTAGATGCGTTATTTCAGCTTAGAAAATTTTGAGTTTCGTATTCGGCGCGCATGGCGCGTATTGCACTCATGTGAGCTGCTCTGCACGATCGACACGGCGTCGAGTGTGAAACTCAATATTCTTCTAGCTGTAACAACGCACTAAAAAGCTTTTCTTAGAAGCCAAGCTTATCATTTGCAATTGCTGAGATTTGTGCTATCGTAGTTATTGAAAATCTAAGACAAAAGCTATGCTCAGCGAAAGTACTCGAATGTGAATCACTATTTTATTCTTATTGCTACGGTGCAGTATGAGATTTTTTTCAAAAAGCAAGCACACCTTTGGAATCCTCGAGATTTGAGCCGCCGAGCATTTATCAAAAGACGATGGCTAAACGCCAATATTGCGAAATTGATTTACATATCGGTGGAAGGCAGGCGCGCCGCATGTAAAATGCAATCTTGTTTTCAGTGCTAAAGGGTAATAAGAAAATTTTCTCAGAAAAGCAAAAACACCATTAAATTTGTCCGAATTTGTGCTATTGAATGGTCACTCAATTCTCTGCTAAAAAGCTTTGCTCGTCGAAAAATGTTATGTTACACCGTAATATAAAGGAATTACAAGATATTCTTTTCGAATGTTCGAGATTTAAGTTATTGAATGACTATTAAGATATCTGCAAAAACAAAAATTACGTTTTTTTTGAATATAGGTGCTAATAAGGGAGCACTGTATTCTCTGCAATGGTAAACGCTCTTTTCCTACACTTACTCCAGCTACATACTACATTTGCTTCCACATAGATCTTTATTAGAGTTATTAAGTTGCAGAAGATATGCTTTCTAGCTGCAAAAAATATCATTACAGAAGTTTCTTTCATGGTGTTCCATCCTTTGTATAACGATAAGGTGCCTCTGACGCATAACTTTACCTCTAGTTACCAATAAACCAGCTATGACGTTTGAGAGGCAGGGTAATATTTGAGGCCTGAGATACAATTTCTTTTCCCCTTGCAGCGTATTAAGATAACCTATCAAAGAAACCAGTCACATCATCAAACTCCTCAAGATTTCGGCTAACTAGTGATGAGTGAAACTTTAGTGATGAGTCATATGGAAGTCCAACCATGCAAATAAAGCAAGTTGATTGTGAAACATAATTTTATTTTTCGTGCTACAACTTAACAGAAAGTCTCTTTCAAAAATCAAACACATCTTTGGATCGCAAAGATTTGAGCTTTTAAATGATTGCTGAGTGTCTAAAAGAAATTTTTTTTTCAACTAGAGAGGCCTCCAAATATTAGTGTACCTCATTTGGTACACATTGTCACTTAGGGGTTAATGATCGCATTCATTATGAGAAGGATTCGACAATCTAGAGTTGTTTGACTTTTGCTACGCATTTATTCCTAGCTGTTATCCTTAGTCATCAAATTGGTTCTGCATTTTTCTGAGCTCACAATGATCACTGCAGCAAATTTTCAACATTTAACACATCAAACGAATGGAAAACTTACGCCGAGAACGAGTGGCACGAGTGAAGCCAGTCAGGCTCAGTTTATTCTCACACTGTTTCAACTGACAGCAGCTTGTTGCTTCTATTTCTTGTGTATAGAATCAAATATTAATGATTCTTCGGTCGAGGGTCACCGGTCTTGGTGACACATTTTGGAAAATGAACCACACTCAGACTAGACTCTAGTCTTGAAAGAGAGTCTTTAGTCTAGTTTTGAGGAATAGGAAGTACCAATCTCGTGTAAGTTTTGGATAAATAAGAGGAAATTATAGTGTATCTTGTTTTAATGCTAATGCGCGTTCATTGATGTTTACAAAACTCGGACCATTTGTACTATGTTAAGCGTTGAACCAGCAAAAACCACAGTGACGGAAGCAGCTGATATGCGCAGTAATTTTTCTCTAACGAGGTAAACGGTGTTAGTTTTGAAGCATGGTTTTCAAGCGAAGTTTTGAATATATCAAAGCTGGAGGTTTAGCTATAGCATTTTTAAACAAAGTGGCCTTTCTAGCCAGCAAATATATTAATTCTGGTAGTATAACAAAAATGTCCTTCCAATATTTGTAGTCGACTTCAACAACCTGGGAAGAAGCTACAGAATTACTGGTGTGAGAGCGGAGGGAGAAATGATACGTTTCATTAGGAAAGAGGGTAGCGATTTGACTACCTCTTCAACGGTGCAGCGTAGTTCACGTGGGAACCGTTAGTTCGTTTATCGAAATAGATCCAAGGAGAATCAGTTGGATCAGCATTTTATGATATCTTTACAGGGTAAAACTTTCGGCGCTCATCAATCCTTGAAAGAAGCGCCATGCAACCGTCCTCATTTTTTTGCTTTGTTTGAGACGAATGAACGTATATCTAGCTTTCACAGTGGTACGCGGTGATATACTGCTGAATCGAGTCACTGCTGCTATATCCTTTTAGCCAAATCGGGTACCAATTCACGAACTCCGGAAGCAATGAATGGCATAATGAGCCATCAACTCGAGGTCGAACCATAGACCTTGTGCGTTACGCGCAGGACCTCTAACCACTGCGCCAGCGCTGACATTCATAGGGAGAGGAAATTAACAAGAAAAGCTAAAATATCGCGCGAATGTGAGGGGGCCACAAAACTTAGAAAAAAATACGGCACTCAAAAAATTACTCCAGCTAAAAGGACCTACTGGATTACTCTTTCACGCGCTAGAATGAAATGGAAGACTCACTGAAGCTCGCTTAGCTAACACCATAATCAGGGTGACAGTGGATGTGGGTGATCGCACTCCAAGCGAAATAATGCTGTAAAACAACTATCCTGATGTGATTTTTTGAAAAAATAGTTTTCGAAATTGTGGTTGAAATACTCTGACCTAGTACAGTATCGTGCTCAAAATGCAAAAAATTTTTTTATCACAATTGATCACCGTCCACAAGCTTAATCGAAACCACAGATTGCGGCTAGTATACGAAATTGCTTTAATACGGAATCACGGAATGGTGTTGTAAACATACCCAATGAGTAGAGTGAGGTGCAAATCTTTTGAAGCATTCACTAAATTGAAGTTCACAACCTAGGATATTGTAGTGTAATTACTGCTTCACTCTGTCTAGTCAACACTCATGCAATTCACCAATTTATTGGAGTCGTATTGCTACATTAATATCATTTCGAAAAAAAAATTCTTTCAAATACATCATAGCTCTTAGCTTCCGCCGACAATAGCTGATGCCGAGAAGAAATTTGATCCAAATGGACCCGATGTCAAAATTCGAACCGCTCTGTTCAATACATTTTGCCACATCGTTCTCGACCAATTTGCCATGACGAAGTTTGTGGTCTACACAGAATTTTTCCTTTACAAAGCAAAATTGTTAAAAAATAAGACTGCCCAAACCGT